CCCCAAAACCCCAAAACCCCAAAACCCCAAAACCCCAAAACCCCAAAACCCCTTCCTGAGATTATAATATTGGAGTTCCTATAATAATGGTATTGGTAACTTTATGGAAAAACTATGCCCAATAGTACCCTCTGTGTCGGATATGTGTACGAGGGTCTAAAACTCCTGATGCATCATTATGTCGTCATTCTGGGTGATCATAAAGTGCGGAATATTAGCCGGTTGATCAGCCAGGTGATCCTGGCTGATCACACTCTCTAAAATATTGGGTCTTATGTTATCCCCAATGTCTTCGTTGATACTGAAGATCGGGGTCGCAGGGTTATTGCAGAATTGGTTGAGAATTGAAGTTCCTCCCATTTGGTAATTCTTAGCTTGCTCGTTTGTGATTGAAAGCAGAGGTTTGCTCATATCAAAATCTCCACATCCTTCAGCAGATTCCATGATCTGTGAGATGTTAGATTGTTCCAGATTCATAAACTTGCTCTGTACTTCTGGTTTTAAGTAATTACTAGGAGGGTTTGCCTCTTGGTTCATCGAGTCCATGTTCCAATTGAACTGAATGTATTCTTGGGGAGGTTCTTCACCAATAGATTGGAACACTTCAGGGTTATAATAAAGAGGCTGCTTAATCTGTACCTCACTCTTCTCCTTCATATCTTTCTCCTTTTTTGTGCCTATAAGTCATTATAATTCTTTCTAGGTTCTAATCGAAGAAATTCTTGAGTGAAGCTTACCTTTTTCATCCAAATTTTCTATGAAAATCTCTGTTTGCTTTTCTCTGTTGAATATATTCTTCTTTCACTTAACTTCTATTTTTGGCTGCTTTTTAGAACCTTTGGAAGCTTTAAATTTCAGAATGATGGTTTTGCCTGGATCGATAGATACAATTGAAGGAATCTTGTTCATGTAATTCTGGAAGCAATCCCTGCGTTTCAAATTTTGATTTTGCTCCTTTGAAGTGATCCTCACCATATTAGGACTAGCTTTCGTGTTGGAAGAGGTCTTTGAGCACGCAGAATTATTCTCCCCACTCATACCATTGAAGTTAATGATCTTGTTGGAGTTTTTCGTTTTTACAGGAGTTTCAAGCTTCTTTCTCTCTATATTTCTATCACTGTCCTCTGATTTCTGACTGTGATTTGAAAATGTTAGGGGTTCTCAATTCTCTAGTGACTCGAAAAGTTGTCTTCTGAGCGATCTTTCGCTGACTCTGATGCTGACCATTTCTGAATGGATATTCTTGATCTCATTCTCTGAGACTCTCTTAAGCCATTTCAACACTAACCCAGGTTTATACTCGTTTGGAGGAGTGAGTGTTTCGAACATTTCTTCAAGGTTTTCCTTCTTCCAGTCGATCTTCCCCTGTATTTCCTTCGGAAGAGTGTCTATAATCCCATAGTAGGGATTCTTGGGTGCCCATTTCTTCACCTTGTCTTTAAGATTAGGAGGTCTACTCTGACCACTCGAGTTGAAAATATTGGCATCAATTGTACTCAAAGTTGTGCTCTCCTTCTTCTTAGAAGCAGCTTTGCTGCTTCTAAGGTTTCCTGAGACTGAAGACTTTGCCGGTTTCGCCTTTTTCTTAACCGCAGAGTTCCTATTGGCTACTTTTGGCTTTTTAATAGCCTTTTCACTGCTATTTCCTTGGGACTTATCAGAAATTTTCTGTCTCTTTTCAGGTGAGGCAATAGTTATCTTCTTTTCTGCTTTCCTAGCTACACTTTTCTTTCTATTTCTTCGCTTGGATAGGCTTTCCTTTACCAGATTTACTGAGTTTAACCTTAGGTGTTTTCTTTAACTGTGGTTGTTGCTTCTCAGATCGGGGCTGAACACTAAGAATGACTTCTTTAGTTTGATCAGGTGTTTGCTTCTTCTTGGTGAATCTCCTGGTTTTCAAAGCCAGGTCTTCTTGTTCACCAGTGAGGGTATTTACAGACATTGGAATACTGTTCTTCATCAAGACTTCTATTAACAGACTAGAGTTAGACTTCTTTAACAAATTTTGCTAAATTTATTATTTTAATCTAACGAATTCTATAATATTATTTTCGTGGGGTTTTGGGGTTTTGGGGTTTTGGGGTTTTGGGG